TCTCCCCTGGCTCCGTCCAGAAATTCGCCGGTTCTCTCCGCATGCTGTCTTTTTCCCGGAAAGGGCTTGGGCCCAGGGTTCTCTTTTAGAGGTTTACCCCCGGATCTGACGGCTGTAGGGCCGGCGAATTTCTTTTGCGATAAATAACAAGGTCGCGTAGGGCCGGCGAATGAAAAAGTTGAGGATGTCTCGAGCGAAACGCTTGGTTTCAGAATTTGTTGAGGATGTCTCGAGCGAAACGCTTGTTTTGTGTTATAGATTGTCCTCTCCTGGGGACCAGAATTTAGAGGATCTCTCAAGTGAAATGCTTGGTTTCACGTGCCCAGGTCTTGAGGATGTCTCGAGCGAGACGCTTGGTTTCACGCCTCCAGTTTGCCCAGGCAGAGGTCAAGCGCCAGGATTTGTTGAGGATGTCTCGAGCGAGACGCTTGATTTCACGCGTCCTCGTCGCCCAGGCGGATGTCTAGAATGAGGAGGTGTCGAGGAAGTCTCGATCGAGATGCTTGTTTGCACGTGTCCAGGTTGCCCAGGCGGATGCCTAGCATGAGGATGTGTTGAGAATGTCTCGAGAGATACGCTTGTTTTCACGTGTCCGGGTCGCCCAGGCGGATGTCTAGCATGAAGATGTGTTGAGGATGTCTCGAGCGAGACGTTTGCTTTCACGTGTACAGGTCGCCAAGGCGGATGTCTAGAATGAGGAGGTGTTGAAAACGTCTCGAGCGAAACGCTGGTTTTCATGTGCCCAGGTCGCCCAGGCGGACGTCTCACATGAAGATGCGTTGAGGATGTCTCGAGCGACCTACTTGTTTTCACGTGTCCAGTTCGCCCAGTTGGATGTCTAGCATAAGAATGTGTTGAGGATGTGTTGAGCGTAACGTTTGTTTTCACGTGTCCAGGTCGCTCAGGCGGATGTCTAGAATGGGGATTTTGACAGGATGTCTCGAGCGAAACGCTTGTCCCCAGCACGTTCCGTAGCGCGTCCCCTTGGCACGTCTCGCGGTGCGTCCCCATGGCACGTCCCCTGGCATGTCGCTTGGCGCGTCCCTTGAGACGTTCCGCGGCGCGTCCTCCTGGCATGTCCCCCTGTCAATTAGCTCTGCGGCAGATACTATGTGTTCAGGCAGCTCGAGCTTGAGATCCAGATCAGTTCGGTCAGGACTCGGATGCAAAGGAGGGCTCGATCCACGACACTATATAGAGCACAACCGCGGCATGGCACATCGCAATTCAGCACGGTGCAGCACAGCACAGACTTCGGCAAGGTACATCAGGATCGATACAATCAGCATTGCAATCTGGCACGTTACTTGGAACGTTCCGTGGGGCGTCCCTTGGCGAGTCCCCTTGGCACGTCGCGTGGCGCGTCCCCTGGCACATTCCGTGACACATCCATTGGCACGTTCCGTAGCGCGTCCCCTTGGCACGTCCTACGGTGCGACCCCATGGCACGTCCCCTGGCACGTCGCCTGGCGCGTCCCTTGGGACGTTTCGCGGCGCGTCCTCCTGGCATGTCCCCCTGTCAATTAGCTCTGCGGCAGATACTATGTGTTCAGGCAGCTCGAGCTTGAGATCCAGATCAGTTCGGTCAGGACTCGGATGCAAAGGAGGACTCGATCCACGACGCTATAGAGCACAACCGCGGCATGGCACATCGCAATTCAGCGCGGTGCAGCACAGCACAGCCCTCGGCACGGTACATCAGGATCGATACAATCAGCATTGCACTTGCCCGTCACCCAATCAGGTGTCTTTGAAAACGTTGCCATGCGTTACATTTCTATATTCCTTTCCGGGTTCGTGGGTCGATCATGCTCATCAGGGAAAGTCTTCTTCCTCCTCAAACTGTGCGCCTGGCCCCCGGTTTACATCAACAGCGGCTCCCGCCCGATATTTCCTCACAGTGTATTCCCAAGTCGCGCTCTCGCGCGGGACATCCTCACAATTTATGTACGAATCGCGCTCTCGCGTGGGACTTCCTCGCAATTTGTTCAGACGATGCGCCCTAGGCGCTCAGGAATCACGCTCTCGCTTTGGCTGTTCTCGCGACTTATTTGGTAGTCGCGCTTTCGCTTGGGATTCATGCAGGACCCACGCTTCAGCAACCCGCCTCCTCGACCTGGACGGTCGCGACCTTCCCGCTATGGGTCTTCCCACCCGATCTGCCCACTTTGTTCTACCACTTGTTTCTGCTCCTTGCCCCCCTCCTGCAACTCTATCTCGTGTTCCATTCTTCTCCCTCCCCCTCCACCCGTCCTCTCTTCCCCTGTTTTAGGGGCTGAGCTAACTGCACATGGCAAGTAAGGAAGGTACGATCGAAGACGACGAGGGCGGATATCGAGGGTTTGGGATGCACGCATAGATTGGCACGTGAGCAGATAGGAGCGACCAGTCTTAAAATGATTGCTGCTGTTGTTGGTGCTGGTATTGTTGTTGTTCTAGTTGTTGTTGTTGTTGTTGTTGGTGTTGTTGTTCGAGTTGTCGAACTCTCATTTGCAAATGA